CAGTCAGTCAGTCAGTCAGACAGTCAGTCAGTCAGACAGACAGTCAGACAGTCAGTCAGTCAGCTTCAGATTCCTGACATTCCTCCAGTGAACTCCGTCCCAGTGAACAGTGTCTGGTTCTGGTGTCAGAACATCTGTTCTGCTGCTCTGACTTGTAACTAAAGATTCCAGCGCTGTCGCCTTTCATCATCTGTGTTCTTTGTTCTCTTTGTTCTACTGAGGACCAAAGTCAAAGCAGCTTCAGCTGAGTCTTCACAGCTGCTCTCCTTCCTCAAACCTTGGAGTGACTTTACTCTGTGGCTAGCTGTTAGCTGTTAGCTGTTAGCTGTTAGCAGTTAGTTGTGAGCTGTTAGCTGTGAGCAGTTTGCTGTTAGCAGTTATCTGTTAGCTGTGAGCTGTTAGCTGTTAGCAGTTAGCTGTTAGCTGTGAGCAGTTAGCTGTTAGCTGTTATCTGTTAGCTGTTAGCTGTGAGCTGTTAGCAGTTAGCTGTGAGCTGTTAGCAGTTAGCTGTTAGCCTGCAGTGTTTTTTCACTCAGTTCTTGTTCCAGTTCTGAGAAAACACCGTTTTTTATCATCAACATAAAATCTGATGTTTTATGTCTTTGATGCAGACACACGTTTCATGGTCATCTGTCTGCCAGGTTCTCTAGAACTTTGACTCCAGTTATTAATGGCAGTGGTTTTTCAAAAACCTCCTTCAGTTTGTCCTGGAATGTCCTGGAACATTCAGTGTCTTCTTTGGATTGAAAAGATCACATTTTGGTCACTGTGCCCTGGAAATGTGTGGTTCTTCAGCTGAGTCTCAGCTGAGTCTGACGGTTCATCATCTGTCTTCTCTGCTGCTGATGGACGTCATCATCTTCATCATCTTCATCATCTTCATCATCAAGTAGTTCTGTCTAATTTAGGGAGGAACTGTTCCACTGACGTAAATCCTCCCATGGCTCCGTTCCTGTCCTGCTGGAGGAGCTGCTGTTTGGTGGAACAGAATGAGGAGGAGGAGGAGGAGGAGGAAGAGGAGGAGGAGGAGGAGGAGGAGGAGGATCAGTGGAGTCAGATGTCTGCAAACATTAGCTGTGAATCTGTTCAGAACCCGGACTGAGAAACTGACACCTGAAAATCAGAGAAGATCCATCTTTGTCTCCATGGACTTTGGTCTGGACTCTAATCCTTGTCCTGTCTCCGTCCAGGACAGTGAGACACAGACTATTAGAAGCCCAGGTTGATGTTGATGTCCAGAGGACAAGTCTGTGGCTCAGGTTTCAGTCCTGCTCCACTTTCTCTGTCTCCCTGTTTCACTGCGAGCTCTTGGATTTAAATCCCATCTGGAGTTCAGTAAAAGTCCTCTTTCATTTGTGGAAGATCGATGTGGAGATAAAGCCTCGGGGGGGGGGGGGGCTGGGGGGCCATGCTGGAGCTCCGCCCCCTGCTGGCGCTGCTCGGCTGCTCTGATGTCATTGTTTAACATCAAGAGGACCAGAGTCCAGAACTTTCCATGACTCTGTTCCAAAGATGAGTCTTTATGGTTCAGGAACCCAGTCTGGTACTGTTTAAACAGAGACAGTACCAGGTTCTGGTACTGTTTAAACAGAGACAGTACCAGGTTCTGGTACTGTTTAAACAGAGACAGTACCAGAAACAGAGACAGTACCACGTTCTGGTACTGTTTAAAAAGAGACAGTACCAGGTTCTGGTACTGTTTAAAAAGAGACAGTACCAGGGTCTGGTACTGTTTAAACAAAAACAGTACCAGGTTCTGGTACTGTTTACACAGAAACAGTACCAAAACAGTACCAGCTGTTTAACGTGTCTCCACGGCTGTGACGTCACTGCGACACAGAGTGGTCCACTGAGTGGGAGGCTGTCAGTTCTTAGCTCCACCTACAGGCCAGTGTGGGGGAGTGAGCGTTCCACAGTGATGACAGATACTGAGTCCCAGGATATTTGAAGTACTTTCCTGTCTGGTATTTCTGGATGGCTGTTTGGTGACTGTTTGTCTGATGAGCTGCAGCTTTTGGAGGCTCATTATCTTGTTGTTTGTGTCTGTGGTCGGTTTTTTATCCTCCATCTGTCGGTGATTTTTAATCCCCGTCTGTTTCTACTGCTGTCGACAGAAACTGTTCAAGTCGGCGGTCTGGTCACATGACCCACAGTCCAACTTAATTAGCGCTGCGTCTGAGCCGACAAAGCGTTAGCTGAGAATTAGCTTAGAGTTAGCGATAGTTAAAGTCGTCCAGAAAATCATGGCGCTGGCTAACAGCTAGCAGCCGAACGTCTACTTTTAGGCTGAAAATATCAGTAAAGGGATGAAAGGCCAGTGTTTTAGTTAGCAGTGCCTAAAGGTTAGCTTTGACGATGACCAATTTAGCACATTTAATGTCATTTTTAGCAAAACAAAAGCTGCAGGAATTAAAGTTGTCTTTTGGTCTTTAAGCATCTTCAGGTTGTTGACAGGAAGTGGACAGGAAGTGGACAGGATGTGTAGAAGAAGTGTTTGTGGTTCAGAATGGGCTTGTGTTTGAATGAACAGCTGCTGCGTCTCTGATCAAAACAGAACCACATCGGTTCCACAGCCAGAACCTCGTACGGGCCTAACGACTTACAGAGCTCAGAGATAAAAACCAGACCCGGGACTTGGTCCTGGAACAGAGAAGCAGCCAATAAAACGGTGTTTCTTCTTCTGTCTTTGTCTCCGTCCACAGCTCCATGTCCTGGTTTCATCCACCAGTGTCAAACTCAACGTCGACTGCCAAGAAGTGGCTGAGAAGGAGATCAAGGACGCTGGGAACACCTCCAGTGACGGCTACCAGGTTCTGGGGAAGATGTCCAAGTCCATCGGCTCCAAGGGAGAATCAGCCACGGTGAGTGGAGGAGCAGCGGAACCCTGACCCAGACTGACCACAGGAGGCAGCAGTGGGGAGAGTGTGTGTGTGTGTGTGTGTGTGTGTGTGTGTGTCAGTGGTTTTATCACACTCTTTGTCTGCCAAACAGTTCCAGCTCCAGATGTTTGACATCGTCTGCAGTCTGGCGTGGACCAGCAGGGACAGATGCTGCGACCTGCCGTCCATGGTGAGGACGGTCCCTCAGCTTTGACCTCCAGTCCGTCACAGGTCCTGACTCTGTCCCTCTGACGTCTCTGTTTCTGTCCCCAGAGAGACGAGCTGAAGTGTCCCTCTCTGCCAAAGTCCTGCACCTGTCTGTCCCAGGCCTCAGGAGAACCTGGTCCTCAGGGTCCAGTGGTGAGAAGATCCTGACACACACACACACACACACACACACACA